TTCTCTCAGCCCTAGGAAGCAGGCAATGGCAAACCACTTCAGAAAAACCTTGCCAAGAAAACTGCAGGGGCTTGTCCAGGCAATCAGCAGTAGTCAAGACTGACTCAACGGCACTCACTCCCACCCCCCCTCACCCACCCCCCAAAATCATGTGAGAATAATTGCTTCTTGCTTTTCATTCACTATTTTTCCTTTTCTTTATGGCAATCTGGTATATGAAAAGTACTTTAAAAGCAGTTCTTAAGGGAGGGATATGTGAAAGCTGATGAAGGACTTTTCCAAAGAAAGAAGGAAGGAAACTCAGGAAGGGACAGGGCTGTCAGGCCAGACAGCAGATTGTTCCCTCAAGAAAGCTGCTAGTAAGACTGGATGCATCTTTGCAAGAGCCGTGCTGGCCCTTCTTAGGTGACTTTGGTCCTTCAAGATTCTAGATTTTAAAAATCTTTAATAATATCTTCCACCAATTTACCAGAACAGGTATTAAACTATCATCTGATTTCCTAGATCACTATAGATTCTTCTTCTAGAAATTGTGTTATACTTTCTAGAATAGGGTTTCTCAACCTCAGCAACTTTACGATGTGTGGACTTCAACTCCCAGAATTCCCAGCCAGCCATGAATTCTGGATCTTGAAGTCCATACATCTTAAAATTGATAAGGTTGAGAAACCCTCTTCTAGAAGCTGCTAATCATCGACATCTTTTTTTTTCATAATTTAGTTATATTATTTCCTAGTGGAATGCAAACTAAGTCATGTTTGCAAACACCAAATTACTGACCAATATTTTTCTTTTATGCTTAAACCCTGCAGTGGCATTCAGGCTTTTGGACAGTACTTGAAGGTGCTAACTGATGGTTTGTTCTCCATGACTGAATATACACTTGACTTTGTGTTCTAATGTTGTTCAGTATGGCAGGCTTTGTCTCTTTTTTTTTCTTTTCTGAGAGTAAAGTGGATTTATTGTTTGACATGGAAATCAGTATGAGAGGAAAGTGGGGAAGCAATGATTTATGATACCCAAGAGAATACCTGTGTCTTCCTAAAATAATTGCAAACAATGATATTCTCCTTTGTAGTTCCTAAAAGGAAGGATCATATGATATGAGTGAGGAGGAGATGGGATCTCAGTGTGGTTATGACCATGCTATAAATGGCGAAGAGCAATTTTCTCTGCTATTATAAAGTTCTGGAGTCTTTATGTTTCTATCAAACAAGTGACTGGCAAGGGAGGCTTTTGAATATCAGGATGTATAGCTGTTAGATGGCAGTTAGATGGAGGATTCCCTCCATTCATTCATTCATTCATTCATTGAGAACCTCCTGAAATCCCCCAAAGTGAGGAAGTCTTTAAGAACTCTACAATAGGACTGCAGGCTTAGGCTCGTATTGAGAAAACAGAAGGGAGTTTTAGCTGAACCTTGTGCTGAAAGAAGGTACGTATAAGGGGGATGCTGGAGGCCACCTGTCAGTCAATGGTTAGGGTTGCCCCCAGCATTGGTACTACATACAACATTCAGAGTGTGTCAGAAGGAGCTCTCTGCCTTCCATGATCAACTATTATGCACAACCATTCTAAAATAATTTATTTTAAAAGTCATTTGCATTCCTAATGCACACCAAACACACAGATAATATGGCTTCATAGCTCCCCTCATGTGGTCACTCAGTGCATGGATTCTCCCTATATGGAAGCAATTGGGTGGAATGTTGCTATATAAGAATAAAGCACTTCTATTATCTGATCACAACAAGAGCCCTGATGCATCCTGTTTCCCACAGGAAAATCAGTATGTGTGCGGGGTTTGCTGTAGTGGTTAAAGACATGGGAGTAGAACCCAGGAGATTATGAGTTCTAGTCCTGCCCTAAGCACAAAAACAGCTGGGTGACTTTGGGCCTGTTACTTCTCAGCCCTAGAAGAAGATAATGGCAAACCTCTTTCGAAAATGTTGCCAAGAAAACTGCATAGACTTGTCTGTATAGTTGCCAAGAATCAAGACTGACTTGAAGGAATAAATAAATCATAAATAAAGACTTATAGCTGGATGGGGGCTCCATTTTGACTGATGAATGTAATCCTTTGCATAGGTTTAATGTGTTTACTATTTGCTTATTTTAAGGGCTGCTGCTTTGGCTTGACCTAGAAGCTTGGACCTTAATCTGGGATGAGTCTAGCTATAGTTAGCAGTTAGGGAAGCAAGCAAGCATGAATTCAGCTTATTCAGAAGCACAGGTTCCCATGTTATT